GGGCCGTACGACGGGGTTGCAAGGAGGAGGGGGGGGGGGGGGGAATTCTCGCGAGAAGACGCAACGAGAGCGTGCCCCGTCTCCCAGCAACGCGCTGGATGCTTGGCCTACTCCGCTCCATGGAGCCTGGCGGGGAGCGGGAGCAGCGCGAGCTCAGGCGCCAGGCGGCCGAATACTATCAGCACCACGAGGTGCCGCAGAGGCTGGAGGAAGCGCTCAACGCCACGTACCCCCTGCGGCCTGCCGACCTCTACGGCCACCTGGTAGCCGAGGGGGCAGCAGTGCGCATGCGCGGCTCGAGAGGGGACGGGGCGGGGCGGGGCGGGGGTGGGTAGTGCGCAGGCGCAGCCGAGCTTTCTTGCTCCAGGGTTCCACGGTTCCCATCACCCCCTGCGCGAGGCGTGGGCGGGGCTTGGAGAAGGGCGGGAGTGAACCAGAGAGAGATAGGGGTGGGAGGCCGGGCAGGGGGAAGTGCTCCCTGCAGGCAGCCTCGCTCAGTGGGTAGGGAGCCTGTCTGCCTCCAGGTCCTTCACACCCTGGAAGAGCCCCCGCCATGCTGACAGCCAACAGCTAGTGGCCAATGAGTCTCGTTACTGGTTTCGTTACCGGTTAGCGCAGCTGGGAGACCCTGCAATGAAACCTTCACTCCCACGGGGAAAGCCAAGGGTCTCAGCCCCTGAGGCAGAAGAAACGTGGAGAGACCTTGCAATATAACCTCCTTGGTTAGCTTAACCCGCCAGGTTTCACGGCACGGTTCCCCCCCCTCCCCCAACACATTACTTCCACCTCCTATTGATAGCACCTAATATATTTTCTAGAAAACAACAAGAGTATAGACTGTATGACCATACTTGAGATAGCTGAACATGCCTTCCCATACCCAGGAGCAAGATGCATTTTCTTCCTTAGTTAACGTATCTCTCCACATTGGAGCCATCTGCCCATCAGTATTGCGTATATGGCTACGCATGTCTTCGATTATTCCTCTTCCTCGCCAAAACCCGTATCATTTCGAATGCCATGTGGTTTACAGCAGTGCTTCTCAAACTATCTCCTGTGGTGGACTGGCAATTTTTTTTCCAGCGGGCCAGGGCCCAGTGCCCGGTTCAGCCGGTGGCAGCAACTGCATGTAACGGTGCTACACAAACGCACGACCGGCTGTTTCTCTTTCCTCACCTTACACGACGTGACGTCACCTGGCGTGTTGGAGCATACGAACTGTGGCACTATGACATATCAATGTTATGTTTCTGAAAATATCTTTCTTTCTTTCCTGGCAACTCGCTGTGGACCGGTGACTGACGGCTCGCGGACCAGCAGCGGTCCGCGGACCACCACTTTGAGAAGCACTGGTTTACAACACTGGCGTGTGTTTCCTTCTACTATAACCAGCCTTCTCTTCTTCAGTCACTAACTACCACTTAGATTAAACTTAACTGTAATTACCTTTAATTATTCCTCTGTTATCATCTTGACAAAATAAATGTGGTGTATTCTCTAGATATTCAGTTGAACAAGAGAAGTGCACTGTCGTCTTCTTACTGTGGACAACAAGAGCATTCCCACGTACAGTCCTTTTTTTCCTCAGGTCTCTAGCATTCAAATGCATCCTACACATAATGCTGAGTAGAAGAACTTTTTGTTCAAGATGGTAATGGTCGGGCCACAAGGATTATTTTATAGTATTTTCAGTTTTTAAAAATCACATAATTATCTACCAGCCCAGCCCCTGGCTTGTTTACTTTTCATTCCATCCAGGAAGAGCACACACCAACTGCTGAAGCTTCCTTAGCCTGACGAAGGGTTTTTGAACCCGAAAGCTTGCTTAATAACTATTCTCCAACCATTTGGGTTGGTCTAATAAAAGATATCAAATTCACCCAAGGAACCTTGTCTGCATAATTATCTATAGCATTTCCCATCTTCCAAGCACTGAAAATAAACATTTACTTGGCTGACAGTTACTTAATGAATTAAAACCTACCTTGGGATCTTTAATATCTGTTTGAGGCCAGATCCAGCAAAGCCTACTAAAACTCCACATGGCATTAGTGGAATTGTTTCTGATTGCACTCTT